AACTTCTTGAAAAACGGATTAAGGATATCAGCTCGATGTCAGCCGAAGATCTAGACGCAGCAAGGGAGGAGAGGCATCTTGTAGACTCCCTCTGGAGTACCTGCTACAATGAACCTTCTTCTCTTCGAGCTAAAGGACTTCTTGCTCTTCCCAATGACGATGCACCCCCTCTGGATGTTGTTAGCAAGCATTTTGAACCTCCTCTCAGAGCAGGGGCGGCAAATCGTGGTGATGATACAAATCCTAGTTCCAGGAAGCAAACTCCTCTGCTTCTTGGGACTGTTTCTCAACCTGAGCGTACAAATGATAATAGCGGTCAAAGCATTGGTTAAAATGTGATGACCAAACGAAGTCCTGCGGATGGATTTCTGGAGATAGTCTCTTGTGCATGGTGTAGCTCATCTTCAATCATGGAAGCTTTCTATTTAATTGGATATTGTTATTGTTAATCGTTCCACTAAATTGTATGGGAAGCCTCATGAGAGACCATATGGGCCTGGGTTGGGAAAGTTTGTGGTCTCCGAATTGTATGCATGTAACTGGGATTGAGTTAGATGTTGCTGAAGGTTTTTTCTTCTTTTCCTTTTTTTTACTTGTCTCCGTTTCTTTTTTCTTAGCTCTTCTTCCCCCTCCCCCCTTTATGAAATGATAATGCACTACTGTTATTGTTAAAATGATAATCCACTACTGTTATTGTTAATAAATCCTCTCGCTTCTGTTCTTCTCTCTAAGTTTCCTTTTTATCATTTTCTTGGTTTTATTTATTGTTTACTCACCGGTTACGTGAATATTTAGATATAAAATTTACTAATAATTTGAGTAACATTTTCTTCCTAAGAATTATAATACTATTTATGTCCAAATTTGTTCATTGAGGTATTCAACAAATTAACGAGAAAATTTACTAATACACTTAATTTAATGACAAATACTTGGGCATGTTTTGTACGTAGCAAAAAATTTGGTTACTAAAAATTTATCAAAATTCTTAAAAAATAATTATAATAGTTAGTAAATTTCATTAATGTTATTAAACTTAAATGTATATATATTTTCTTCAATAAAAATATTGGCACCATGGTATATTTGCGTCACTTTTGTAATGATCATTGCTTTTGCACCCAATGGTTTCTACAATTATTATTCTTGACATTATTATCATTGTAGATTAGGATGATTGTAATTATCATAAACACCATAATGGTTTTTGGTTTTTGTTTTTATCGTCACATTTATTGGTGTTATTATTAAATTATTATTATTATTATTAATTTCACTAATATTATCACCACCACATTAGTCATTGCTAAAGGGAATCAAGAAAAAAAAAAAAAAAATACTTTGCATTCTTTGGTGTTATTTTTTCATTTTATTATTTATCATTTTAAATATATAATCAGGTAAAAATATTATTGTATTTAATTAATAATAATTTTTTTTTAATTTTATGTTCAAATATGAATAAGAAAAGGTGTATAATGTATGTAAAATGAATTCATATTTTTATAACTTACGCCCATCTTCCATAATTTACTGAGAAAATATTTTTGCATGTTAAGAGAAAGCAAGCAATCTAGTTCGTAGTTAAATAAATAATAGTGTGTTCTCTATATTTAAATTTTGTAGTCATTGGCAAAAAATTTCTTATGCTTGGTAAAAATAAATGATATTTTATTTATTTTCTTCTACCAAAAGAAAAAAGAAATACCATTTTCTGTCATGAAATGTATTTAGAATATATCTATATTAGTTGTAGCTTTATCATTAATCACAATTTTATTTCTTAAAAAGTTTAAAAATATATATATCAAAATAAAAACTAAAATTGTAGAACTCTTAGTTGTAGCATTAAATAAAAATAAAACTATTTTTAGGCCATGTAAGTAATATAGACAATATGTTCTTTTATTATATTATCATGAGCATTTTTTTTTTGTTTAGAAAAAATAACAATTAAAATGTTGTTTATTAGTTAAAAATTTTAAATACTCTTTGGTTCAATTAAAATATGTTCATTACTAAATAAGGATCGAGTTCGCTCCTGTACATTTTCTTCTTTTTTTTTTTTTTGAAAAATGTTGGAGATGTAAGTTTAAGTATTTTTTTCTTGATTTTAAGTATATAATTAATACACCTTTATACTATTTTATTTTTTAAAGTTTTTATATTTGTTATGAATTGATTTTTATATTTTAAAATCTTTCTAAAAAAATACATTCAATTTTATAAGAGAGGTGACACCGGAGGGAATGGAGAGGACCATTTTAATTCCTAGAACCTCAACTAACACACGCAATCAAAAGGCTTAACCACCTAATTCACCATACTTACTTGAATCTACACCCGTTTATATGGCATGCAAAAATAAGATAAGAAGAAACAATAAAAGAAAAATGATAGACGTCACAACTTACTCGATCAGTTGATCCCAACTCCTCGACTCAACAAGATTTCTGAACTCTCTAATTTTGAAAATTTTGAAGAATACTAAAGAAATTAGCCTAACTAATTTTGAGAAAGCAAAAATTTTAATTTTATTGAAAAAACTGAATTGTGTTTACAACCTAAAGACTAAAGCCTTCATATAAGGTTTTTGTTTACTACGATTCAAAATAGGATAACAACTTCCTACTTGGACTCTTAAACAATAATTAAGTAGAAAATAAATATAAAAATATCTAAGTCTTATCCCAAGTTTAATTAAAATAATATAAAATAATTAAAATAAGTAATAAAATAATATTTTATCCTTATTCAAATCTTCAAGAAGTTTGATCTTCTTTGGACTTCCAATTTGAATTGAAATTCTCCTCCACTTTTGCACTTTAAACACATGAGATAATTTGTGAAAGTCACTTGCAGCTTGTAATCTTTAAAAAATTAAAAAAAAAAAGTGAGAAAAGAAGTCCAAAGGACTTAGAAATCTGCTGCTCGCGTGGGTAGCTTGAAATTGGTGTGCGGGTCATGTGCTGAAGGCTCATGGGCACGCGAGTCATGTGGAATGGATGTGTAAATCTCCTTCACGCGTGTGCACAAGTGTTTGGGCATGCACCTGGGCATTGGGCTATGCATGCACTTGGCTGGCTGTGCGTATGGGCGCGCATGTTGTGGTGTGCGACTTGAGCTATCCGTATATAAGCAAATGTTACACATGCAGTTAGGCGGATGCACGTTCGTGTGCACACACTGTGTCATACAGGTGTTGCTGCTCGCATGCCCCACGTGTTTGTCTGTGCAGGTGGTGTGTTTGCATGTGTGAGTGCCACTATTCACATGTGTGGAGGCCACACACGTGTACCCAATGGGTATCCACACCCAAATCATATTTTGTGGGTCGAAATTCGTGAGTCGAGTCTTTCCTTGGTTGTGAGGCCCAATAACTTAATCGTTTTCCAACTTTTATGATTCCTCATTTTTTTAGGCCAGGTTCAGATCCACTTAATCCTTTATAGGTCCCTGAATCACTACCTTGGGTCTATATCTGAATGGATTCATTTTGAGTATTTTTAGTTTGGGAACACTTCTGAGTGTGCTTGGAAAGCACACTATTACTTTACTTTTTTGGCCCTTTTGTTTTAACACAGTTCTCTTGTTTGTCATTAGGCTTGTCCTCAATTATTATCGCATTATTTTCCCTTTTTTTTAAGAGGATTTGTCCTCGAATCTACATTTTCTGCAATTTTCTCGTCTAAAGATAAGGAAGTTAAGGAAAATACCAAGCAATCGACGAAATAGCTAGAAACATCTGATTGCTTCTATATGAGGAAACAATTCTTAATCCTTGTTAGGACATTGTCTCCCTCTGCCAGCCATCCTATAAACTCATTATAAGACTTCTTAATTTTAAGCTGGTCTTCATATGCTTATCTCCTTGACAAGGGAGTTAGGGCATGGGTGAGACCTCCCATATGTCCGGAATAATGGTTCTTTCCACCGATATGATTAACATCTCGATCGTATTGTCATGGTCTTCTTAGCAACAAGTGACCTGCTTACATAGGAATGATATCGCACAGTATTTTGTCCTCGTATTTACTAACAGAAAATGGAACTCATACTTATTTAGTGATACTGATCTCTTTACTAGCATCTAACCAGTGCATCTTATAGGGGTTAGTGTGACATCCCAAATACTTAATGGGTAGAAGGGAGCCAGTGCAAAAATAATTTTTTGATATTGAAGTGGAAATTAAAAATCCCTTATAGAACATACTAAAATTTAAGAACTTACATCAAGGGCCATAAATTAGCAATCCTTATAGAATTTTTACATCAGAGTGCATAATAACTATTGTACTCGAATTACGTTATAAAGAATTTTCAAAAATCCATCAAAGGTTCTAATCAAAGTTCGAGATAACTCGGAGAGCAAATCCTCAACTTTTACATCATTTGGGGAGCACGCATTAGGGGAGAGTTTCATGTAAACTTAGTAAGGAAAACAATATTTAAACCACACGGATAAGGTTTAAAAAGTAAACAATTCGAATAATACCTTATGCACCTCTTACTTTGGAGAACCGTTGTGAGTTGAAGTCATTTAATGTAACACCCACCAAAACCTTTTTTTTTTTTCATTTTTTATTAATAAATATAATTATTTATTAATTTAATTTAATTTATTTTATTTTAATTTAATGAAAAAATGGAGTAAAATTTATTAAAGATTAAATTGAAAATAATTTTGGGAAAAAGGGGTGAAAAATTAGGTTCAGTGGTATTTTTAAAAGAAAAATCAGAAATCAGGGGTCAAAACGCAATTTAAAAAAAATATGCCACGTCCCACGCCCGATTAGCAGCCCCGACCAACCAAGACGCGCCAAGTGGCAGAGGTGTTGACGTGGAAGGCCACGCGGGGGGAGTCACGTGGGCGATCCGCGTGCGCGCGATCGAACAGTTGAGGCTCGTTCCTGTACTCACGAACGACCTAGAGTGAATTGCGATGGACGGCCCAGATTGGATCGTGATGAATGGTCCAGTTTACTCCCTATTTAATCGTGATCGAACGGTTCAGATCAAATACGATGGACAGCCTATATCAAAAGCGGATGGGTATAAATAACTCCATCCGCACCCAAACCCTAACCCTAGCCGCCAGAACCCCTCACTAGAGAAGACAACCCAACCGCCGAGGAGTCGACCGCCGCCACCCGTCGCCACACCAGAACCCTTTACAGCCGCCAAAAAAGGTAAATATTTTTTCTTTTGCACGAAATTTAATTTTAAGCCCACCCATGGCCAAATCGGGGTGAAAGAACCGGCTAATTGGCTGGAAAACACCGATGAAGCCTGGCGACGCCGCTGTAGGAAATTTCACAAACCACCTTCGACGAGGCCCTTCCTGATTCCCGTTTCGTGTAATTTTTTCACCATTGTGATCACCGTTTTCATCTCTACATGTTAACCGAAGCGAAACACTCAACCGCAACGTGAGCCGGAGGAGCCACCGCACCGGAGAGCCCCGCCGCTGGTGAGTTTTAGTTTTTCGTATTTTTTTTCGGCCCACCAAGGCCCTTTAGCTTATGTGCTCATAGGAATCAATGTAAAATCGATCGAAAACGGCCGACCCGAGGTGGACCACCACTGCGGGTGGCGGCGCTGTCGTGCCGAATTTCTAAAATTGGTCGAGTGGGCCCTGGGACTAATTTTGGATTTATTTGGAATATTCGTAGGTACTATAAGTGCATTTCAATTCCCGGAGAAA